GCACAGGCTGTTTCTTTCCTCCTCGGTAAAACCGCGAAATTTTAGCCTTCCAAGAAATCTGAACGCTCCGCTAAATAAGGCGTTGACCAAGTCTTTCTCATTGAAACCGGGCAAGTTCCAGTTCTCTGTTACAACAACGGTCAACGAAAAGATACGCAAGGGCTCGGCGGCTTTCAATGCTGTAATGAATTCTGAAAACGCCCAACGACGATGCAAAGCCACTCTAGGGTTCTCTGCCCCTATCAAAAATACGACGGATCCTAGTGGTCTGCTCCAATTAAGATGTTCGTTGCGACAGGGGTATTCAAGGTTGACCTCAAACTCCTTAGAGCGACAACACGGCAACGGCTTTGGATGACGTCTGAGAAGGTCTGCGGAGTAAGAACCATACGCTCGGAGAAAGAGCTTGCGGTAACTAAGCGAATGGTACAGGGCAATCGAAGCTTCATGGTAAATGAGGTGCGACGTCCTGAGAATCTGTAAATTCCCGATCCCTGTGTGTTCGAGTCTCCCGATCTCGAGGGCAGTTCCGTTATGCAAAAACAAAGCGGCATAGATTCTGGACCTTACGTCGATTGGAAGGCGATAAAGGTAACACCTACGATAGCGGCAGCCGAAAAGTAGTTCTCTTCTGACCATCTTGCACGCCTCTGGAACAACAGTGTCATGATAGTTTGGCTGTCCATCGTACGGTACAAGTCGAGTAATATTGTCCTCAGCGACTCTCCTATAAAAGCGAACGATGGTCCTACAATCCATGTTCGTGTTAGCGGGAAGCTTCGTTGAACAGTGTGCGTTGATGGATGAGACAACCTACCCTGGGTTACTTGGTTCGAGACGATTGAAGGTCGGCTTGCTCGTCGGTCCCTGCAGACTGGTGTCTTGCTTATGGACTGAATCCCCCGTTTCTTGGGGGGCTGAGTTCATATTTTCACCTGATAGGGGTACGGGAAATGGCTTGACTCAAAGTTAAGGGGGGTCGGCTTCCTAAGGAGCCATCAAGGGGCATATCAATTATTTGTTGTGCTTGGTGTGAATAAAAATGTTTTAAAGTAGAGAAGGTAGCGAGGGACAAGAGAGTTCAACTATTCTCCAAATCGCGTGCTGTATTTTACATTCATTCACTGCAATGAGTAGCCAGCCAACTCTTCCAGCCAACAGAAGAAGGAAAAGAAAGAACCATGGCACAAACCAGGACTGTATTTTCACAGTAAATGCCTTGCAATACTCGAACAATAATCTCATTACCATGCCTTGTATCCATTCAAAGCCTGTATACATATCATGTTGCGAACAATGAAGCTTGTATACGGGCTTTGCTCTTTGATACGGTCTCTCTACATAGTACACTTAGGCAGGATAGGCAGCAACTGCCCCGCTTTCGGGGGAACTTCAAGCCAAATAATGTATATCATGATCCCATATCCCCGACTACTCCCAGGCTGTCGATGATAAAATATGTACTCATATCCTCGCAGTCACGTGTTGCCGGGGGATTGGATGGATATCATTGGCCAAGTTCCTCCTCTCTTCAATGAATGTTTCTTGTTGTCTTCTGCTTTGCTTGCCTTTTCTTTCTTTCATTGCCCTCCACTTCTTTCGAACGCGTTTTTATATTTTCTTTCAGCATTACGCTTATCTTGAAGTCCTTGGTTTCTATTTGGTTGAGGATTTAACCATCTGGACAACCAGAGACTCCCGTGACGTCTTACCGTAAACACAACGCTTTTGTGTTCCGTATCACGACAAATCCTCCATCTATCTATGTTCTTTGTCAAAGCATGAGTCTCTACTAACCATAAAATCACCCCTTTCGAGTTGCCATTCCCTTTCTCTCTCACCCTCTCCCTATCTCTCCCAGATTCAACTCTACTTTGCTGTCGGGCGCCTCACTTGAAGTATTCAATGATCTAAGATGAATTCCGACGATTTAGATGACCCTGATCTGAAGGCAGCAATTGCTGCCTCTCTAAGGGATTCCAGTAATCATGAAGAGAACAGTCACAGCGGGAATCAACATGAAGTTGTTGACTTGACTGTAGATTCTGATGATGACGTGGTACCCATATTTCCCAAATCAAACTCCGTCATTGGGTCCGAGACTGATGGGGATGAAACCGACTCGGGTGAGGAAGATAGCGGTGACGAAGATGAAGACCTTAAGAAGGCGATCGAATTATCTATGCAAGGCGCCATAGAAAATGAGAATGGCACATCGAGACCTCACTTGTCATCTGCTGACAACAATGACAGCAAGGCTTCTAGCGCCCCTTTGTCCAGCAGAGCTGAAGCTCCAGCAAGCATACAGGCCCCGATACAAACAGCCGGCATATTGGGTTTGGATCGAAGGCAGATGGAGAAAGAGCGCCTGGCGCGACTGAACAAGAGGAAAGCCGAAGAATCCGTATCCGATGACCAACGGGATGCAAAGCACGCGAGAACTGAAACGCCTCTAATATCTTCCGGTCCTGCTATATCAGCGGCTGGTACATCGTCTGGATCAGATTCCTCACGTACAATGCCAGCAGAACATGCTCAGCAAATACAAATCCCATCCCCGACTCCGTCGGTTCAGTTTCCTAACGGAGTCGTTAAGAAAACATGGGTCTTTGGTTGCCTCCGTCAGGGTGATGATATCAAGATCGAGGAGGTCTTTCAGAAATCCGACTTACAACTTGCTGTCCTCAGCTCGTTTATGTGGGAAATGGAATGGCTTTTCTCGAAATTGAATACAGCAAAAACCCGATTCTACTTGGTGATGCAAGCCAAGGATGAATCTACAGTAAGTTTCCTTCAGCGTTATTCATATAGTTGTTGTCTGGCTGGACCATGAACCATACCCTGGTCCTTATTTTCTTACCTTGGTGTTCAGTCTTTTGGAACGTGAAGTTAACCACCTTTGTGGTTCTAGAAACTTCAGTACAAGTCCGAAACAGCTGCTATGAGCAACCTTAGATTATGCTTTCCACCAATGGATGGCCAAGTGAATTGCATGCATTCAAAGCTGATGATACTCTTCCACTCGGGATATGTTCGGATTGTGGTCCCCACTGCCAACTTGACTCCATATGACTGGGGTGAAATAGGTGGATTCATGGAAAATGTACTGCATGATCTGGCATTCCTATCCGCTACCGGCTAACCATAATCTAGAGTGTTTTTATTATTGATCTACCAAAAAGGACCGATAAAGACTCCGACTTTTCACGAACAGCCTTTTACGACGAGTTGACTTACTTTTTAAAGGCTAGCACTCTGCACGAGAATACCATCGATAAACTCACCGATTATGACTTCAGTAAAACCGCGCATATTGCATTTGTCCACACTATGTAAGCTTCTCTACACTGACAACATGGTCTGATCTCTGATTCCATTTAGTGGTGGCTCGCATATGGGAGATTCGTGGCGGCGTACAGGGTACTGCGGCTTAGGACGTGCAGTGGACTCCCTTGGCTTGCGAACATCCAAACCTCTCAACATCGATTTTATTGTGAGTCCACAATTATACCAGTTCATAGAGCACTTCCTGATATACAATAGACGTCATCCGTTGGCTCCTTGACGGACGAGTTCTTGAGGTCTATATATCTCGCATGCCAGGGTAAGCAATAGCTGAGTGCGATGCCCCATCCTAACGCTAGTCGCAGGATAACTTTGTGTCTAGGCGACGATGGATCGACAGAATATGTTCTTCGCACCGCAAGATCCTTCCCTGCCCGGAGCCGCCGCAATCCTGCACAGCTTATTGACAAGTCTATGGCCGAAGAGTGGAAGGATAGATTCAGAGTCTACTTCCCCTCAGAGACAACAGTCAATGACACAAAAGGTGGTCCACAATCCGCAGGTACAATTTGCTTCCAATCAAGGTGGTATACGGGCCCGAAATTCCCTCGTCAGGTTCTGCGCGACTGTGTAAGTCAGAGGCCAGGACTACTGATGCACAATAAAGTAAGTCACTGTGTTTTTTGAGGGAAGCGGAAGAACAGACCGAGCTTATGCTAGGATGCTCTAGATCCTCTACGTAAGACTAGATGACCCAGCGACGCTACCTGATAACTCCCAATGCCGAGCCTGGGCTTATGTGGGAAGTGCGAATCTTTCAGAGAGTGCTTGGTGAGTGGTCTTATATCATGCTCACCCTCTGGTTGTGCCTTGCAATTCGGGAAACTTATAATGAATAGGGGCCGTCTCGTTCAGGAGCGGGCAACAAAGGAACCGAAACTCAACTGTCGAAACTGGGAGTGCGGTGTGCTCATGACAGTCATCAGTAGAGAGGATGCCGTGTCGGGGCAGAACAAATCCCCGAGCGATGAGTCTGGGACTATGTTAGATGCTTTCAAAGGCGTTGTGCCCGTGCCGCTTCGTCTTCCAGCACCTCAGTATGGGCCAAACCGCAGGCCTTGGTTCAATTCAGAAAGTGGAATGTGATCCAGATGGGATTTCTGTTATAAGTTCACTCAGCCGTTGATCATGGATCTAGATAGAGTCCCATTGAATATCTAATTTAATACGTACTTAGAGATATGTGATTGGCAAGGTGGTTCTTGAACAAAGAGATAATCCGTAGAATAGTCGGGGCAATGTGTTCCCCGTCCTTTAACATGAGATAGTAAAGCTTCCCATTCTGGCAACAAAGAGGCAGACTGCACACGCCCGGTGGGATTCTTTGATATCCTCTAATCCCCACTCTAGAACCATGCCTTACCAAGCCTCTCAAACAAAACCGACCATGCAGCAATTGAAAAGAACCGCGATAGTCTAAAATAAGACGGCACAAATATCTAGGGTTGCCCCATGTAACCTCCGAAAACAACACGATGCCACGAACTAGCATATTGAAGGGATAATGAGGTTTCATCATGACGCTAGTGGTCATTTGACTTATAACCCACATGTGTAGATACTTCAGGCCATGCGATATCCGTCAAAGATCCCTTCGTCCATCTTTTTCTTTTCTCTTTATTTTCCCTGCTGCTTGTAGTTTTGTATGGCCCAAAATGAGGTCTGGTATTGTTTCTTCGCTGATTTTTGCCCTTCTCTGCACCAGCACTGCGGGCGCTGTTCCACCCGGTACTGCTAATCCTAATTATAGTGGTACTAGCGGTGTTAATACCGGTAGTACTGTTGGCAATACTGGTGGTACCGGCGGTATTGGAATTTCTGCTGGTGGCCCTGATATTCGTCTTACTGGGGGTACCAGTCGCAACATGCAGGGCAAAACACGTCAGCAGGAAAGATACGTCGAAGGCGTACGTTCCAAATCAAGTTTTGTCCACAAAAAGTAAAAAGTATCACTAATAATACATATCTTGAAGCAATGCACGATGCGCGGTATGCATGGCACATGCCAGGTAACGGATGCCAATGGAAATGACTGGGTTGCTCCTTGTCATTCGAGAAACCCGGTAGGACGACGAAACCCTAACATCATTTTGCAAGTGCCTTTTGTTTTTGCGTTTCGTTGGAGGGAGCCATACGTACTGATCTTGGATAGTGTGCTACGATAGGGCAGCGTCTGTGCAATATTGATACTTTGCGGCTTATGGCGGTATGTTCGTGAGGGGAGAGATAAATTCTGTATCATCTTGTTTGATATCGATACGGTGTTCCTACTTTTCAGCGCGGGAAGGTTGGTATATATATGCATGAATTATATTAACGCTGTCTATGAACAAAATGCTCTTTTCTATCTATGTCTCCTCGGGATATCACTCATATTCCATTCAACATTAAATCTCTTTCTCCTTTACTTATTTATCATCTCCCCCTGTCGTATTGCTTGTTTCTGCTTTCCGCCTGTTTGGAATTGATCGATGGAAAGTTGAACACATCAACCAAAAACTAGACCACCAACCACCGTCTAGTTCTGTTCCTTTTCAGACTTTTTGCAGAAGACCTTTTTCACACCATCAATGATCACACCGAGTCCACCGAAGAGGTATCCGATTCCGAAGGACCATCCCCTAACGCGGACAGTGTAGATGAAGAAATAAACCAACGCCCAGTTGATAATCACAAAGGCCAGGAAGATACCAAAGCACCGCCACTTATCGCCATCGTGGACGTTGAGCGTGTGCATGTATTCTGTGCCGTTAGCGTAGGGGCAATATTGGCAGTCGTCCGTGGCGTCCGGGTTGACCAGGTATCCCACTCCAGCAATCTTGGAAACGAAGTCTCCTGCGTACTGTTGGCAAGTGGAGCCTGGGGGAGGGTTGAAGTGGGTAGCTTCCTTCGAGGCACATTCGATGTGGACAGAGGGGAAAACGCTTGAGATCACGCCTCGAAGCCACCAGGTTACTGGGTTGACGTAGTACATCCAGTATTTCCAGAAGACCGGGTAGTCTTGGTATGGACGGACGATACCGTTGAACAGATTGACCATGACAAAGAAGAAGGGAAGGACCTGGGAAGGAGTGTCAGTATGGTGAATCGGATTGGGTATACTAAAATAAAGACTTACGTTGGAAATCACTGTGAACGATGGGGCGAAAGCACAAATCCATTGACCCCAGCTGGCCTGGAAGAGGAAGAAAAGCATCGACATGAGAAAGACGTATCCAGCGCTGCTCGAGTCCGTCGGGAAGCCGACTGGGTAGTACCAGAGCAGCCAATAGATCAGGGCAGAAACGATTGCCATCGGAATCTCACAAACAACGTTTGCCGTGCAGAAGGCGAACCATCCGTAGATACGACTAGGATATTCACGAGCTTCCCAAAGGGCACGGTTGATATAGAACTTGGGGACGATACTATTCAAGACAATGGGAGGGATGAGAATGATCAGGAAGATGGAGAACATGCGATTTTGCATGCTACTGATGGAGTTATCGAGCATCCAGAACGTCTGTCCTAGTCAGCAATGCCCAAATTCAAAGACCGGAGGCTACTTACGAATCCGTTGAAAATACCAATAATGACACTGACGAAGAGCTTTCCGTAATAGTACGATGGATCTCTCCAGTACTGTCTGAACAGCCTCTCAGTGAGTAAAACAGTCTGTGTCCATGTGGGAGCAGCAAACTCGTATTCGACACCCTTCTCGGTAATTGGGATCTTGCTGCGTTCTTCCCTGATCTGTTGAATTTCGTCCAAAATGCGGCGGCTCTGTTCAGAATTGCGCCACTCCTCGTTCCAATCAATAGATCTACCATCCTTCTTAGTCGCCTTCGCTGCTGTTTCGAGAATGAATTCTGCGACATTCTTGGATGGTGGGCAAACGGCGCCGCGGTCAGCGAAGTACTTAATCACATCGCGACCTTCAGGACCAATAGGGCCGAAATAGAATGTGTTTCCGCCGGGGTTAAGAGCTAAGACCATGTCGAACTGCTGGATCAGCATGGATGACGGCTGGTGAATTGTACACACAATGGCCTGTCCCGCTTGAGATAGCTTCTTCAGGAATCTCACGATTGAGAAGGCTGCCTGACTGTCCAGACCACTGGTGGGCTCATCCAGGAATAGGAGGAGACTCGGTTTCGCAGCTAACTCGACACCGATGGTTACTCTCTTCTTCTGTTCGACGTTAAGAGAACCAATGATAGCATCCTGGATATCCTCCAACTCCAACAGGTCGATAATCTGATTCACATAATCAAGCTTGTCTTGACGTGGGGTGTCCCTGTCCTGACGAAGAATTGCCGAGAACTCAAGGGCCTCCCGAATAGTCGCGGTATTGTCATGAAGATCCATTTGTTCACAGAAACCAGTGCCTCTTTGGAAATCGGTACCGAGAGGATGACCGTCAACAAGCATGTCGCCAGTGACCACACCCATCTTCTGACGCTGAGCTAAGGTGTTGAGCAGAGTGGTTTTGCCTGCTCCAGAAGCACCCATTAAAGCGATCATAAGACCGGGCTTCGCATAACCGTTAACACCGTTAAGAAGTTTCCGTGTCCCATTTCCGTATGGCACCGTGTATTCTACATTCGACCAGGTGAAAACCCGCTCGCTAGCAGAAAGGCGCTGCATGGCTTCGCCGTTGCTAGAAGACTTCGCTTCACCACGTGACAATGCCGCGTTATCACCTGTATCTTGTACTTGCTCCTCATCATTACCTTTGCCGTTTTGCGCTCTGAGTTTCGTGGAACGCTTGGACTTCTTGAAGACTAATGCGCCGCCACCGCCTCCCACAAATGAGAGAACTTCAGCAGCTATGACAGTGACAAGGAGGTAGAGAACCGTGAAAGCGATGACCACGCCAAAATTGCGCCACAAATGGTGCCGGGTGCTATGTTGTGTGAGTGTGTTGATAGTTGAATAGTAACGAATAAGGGGTACTTACAATTGGAAAGTTTCTTCAAGATACCGACTTCCTGCAACGTTTGCCTTACCAAGCTCGGACCCCGTGAGAGCACAACCTTGGTACCTTGGATCCACACCTGGGCCTTGAGGCACGAGCTGCGAAGGAGCACACGACATAACTCTGTTCGAAAATTCGTTCGTAAGGACCGCTTCATAACTGTACGAAAGCGGGTTCACGTAGAACAACCAACCGAACCAAATCGAGCCATCAATGAGTCCTTGCTTGGGAATGACATAACCAACGAACAGAATTAACACGTTCAGAGCAATACCAGCGAACCTAACGGCATCGTCAATAGTCGGAGATAGTGCTGCGAACATGCGATACAGGGACGTGATACAGAACGTCGTCGTGTACACAAACAAGAAGTAAATAAAGAACTTGGATGCATCCACATCGAGTCCCGTCATGAAATATACGATGATGGTGAACGGCACAACCATGCAGAAGATTGCCGGGAAATCGACCACAACTCGGGCGATTGCCACGGCAGACGGACGGTAGAAGGCATAATCCTTATGGCGTGCGACGATACCACGCCCGGAAACCGCAGGCATCAGTTCCGTTAGCTGAAGCCAACCGAGGAACAAGATCGAAAAGAACAGGGCACCACCACGCGAGAAAGCTCCGCTAGTATCCAATGATTCACCATAGAACAAAGAAGAGACGATAAGACCGTTTGAGACAATAATGAAGTATTTGGTATACAGGGAGGTCTTGTCTCCCCACAGGAGCCAAAATTCTCGCTGCACACAAGCCGCGACTTGTCTGAAAATAGAGACCGTGTAAGGCGACTTTTTCGAAACCGTCTTACTTTTTGACTGAGCCACAGTTTTCTGGAAGCGGCGAGTGTCCTCCTGGTTAGTGTCCTGTAGCAATTTCTCGTACGCACAAACTTCATTCCAGATCTGCTTGTATGCTTCACTCTGTTTGAAGATCGCCTCGAGCTCTTCAGCAGTCTTTGGCGTCGATGCTTCGCGACCTGGCTGGAACTGGCGGGCATTCGGGTCACACAGGGAAGTGAGAAAATCAGCAGTTGTGGATTGTTCAGGGCAATAAAACCCGAGATCCACAAAGTACTGCTTTGCTTCGTTGGCAGGGCCTTGATAGAGCATACGTCCCGCATCGATCACCAGAACCTTGTCCATTAGCTCATAAATACTCTCACCAGCTTGATACAGAGTAACCAGAGTAGTCCGCTTGCTGACGTCCGTCATGATACGGAGCGACTTGGCATAGTCAAGAGCAGTGCTGGCATCCAGTCCTCTGGTGGAGTTATCCCAGCAGACGACGGAAGACTTAGTCGCGAGCGTTTCAGCGATACTGACACGCTTTCTCTCTCCACCAGAAACACCACGGACATACTCATTACCCACAAGAGTATTCTTTGTATGGGTGATGCCGAACATTTTTAACAGCGCGTCGATAATGATGGGTATACTAGCTTTGTCATGCTTCTTTGTCTTGTTAATCAAAGAGAACTTCAGCGTCTGCCAGACCGTGAGGTTCGGGAAATGCTGATCATCTTCCTGGTTGTAGTTCACCTCGCCGCGGAAATGCTTATGCTGCTCTTCCGCTGAGAGGCCACCGTAACTGACCTCACCCTCAACCCCTGCGAAGGCTTCTCGGTCATTGGCAATCGTCTTCAAGAAGGTGGAACAGCCTGCTCCAGGCCTACCAAGCACTAGCATCATTTCGCCTTCCCTAACTGCTCCACTGAAGTCGTGGAGCAAGTTTCTTACAGGAGGACGCTTACCGAAGTGGAGAGCAGGTACGAAGCGGCACACGATCTTATACAGGTCGGGACCAAAAGTTCCAATGACAGCATCAGGAAGGGTCCGGACGAAGGAGGCACCTGTCTCGACGCCTTTCACCGTGACATTCTTGAAGGCAACGCCCACCTTCTTCGCCGGCTCTCCTGCTGTCGTTCGTCGTTCCAGATGGCCACCCATCAAAAACTCGCTTAGATCGAACCCACCCTGGTACTCATCCGTAGACGAAGCCTGTTCATCCTCGAGCGCCTTCTCCTCATCGCGACCCTCGACCCGTGAGCGCCGCCGAGCGTCTTTGGCTGAACGAGTCCGGTGGAGACTGAGCTTTGTGACTTCCCTTCGCATCTCTTCAAATTCCTCCATCGCACCCCGACGGGAAACAGGGTCACCCTGGTTGCGTTCTCCCCATCTCGCGTCCACATCAGCCGAGGCA